AAGCAAGAAGCAATTCTTCGTAAGTCCCCGGGCTGGGCAGTGCCCCGCAGCGGCTGTGGCTCGGCCGGGCCAGGGCCCTGCTGAGACTCTGCTCATACAGGAGGAGGTTGGGATAGAGACGGACGAGGACCATGGTGCCACGCTGCCAGCGGCCGTGTGAGGTGCAGAGGGAGCCTTTGCCCCAGGGAAGAGAAGGAGCTGATGCCAAGACTCAGCCATTGGGGGGTTGTTTTCCTCGTTTTGCAGGGCTTGGGCTTGTCCTGCATATTTATGTGCCATTTTTTCAAATGCTCTGCAGCTGGAAGGATGGTTGGAGCGAGTAACTCCACACTGGGCTGTCTCACGGGCAGAGCGAATGTTGTTTCTTCCTGCCCTTGAGTGCAGCGAGCTGTGGAGGTCAGGTGTCCTCAGGGGGCTGTGTGGGGGAAGGTGTAAGCACACTGCTGCAGAGTCCCTGGTGTTCCTGTAAGGAAGGAAGCGATTGCCTCAGCGGGGTGAATAAACTATTGCCTGTTGCTGCTGCAGAGCTCTGGGTGTATCTCAGCCACTTCCCCGTGTGGCACGGGAGAACGTGACCCATTAAACATGACGCGTTTGGTTCAGCTGCGCTTCGCTGTGGTGTTTCTCTGTTCAAAGGGGCAGGGCTGGGGCTCTGGGTCGCCGCAGCCCTGAGGGGTGGGGAAGGGGAGAGGCAGGAGCAGGAACCCTGAACCACCACAGCTGGGCTGGGCTTCCAGACACTACCTGTCTGTCTCTGACCGGGGGGAGGCTCCAGGAACTTGGCAACAGAAATAAAAGCAGAGAAATCATTAAAACATTCAGCAAAATTTATTTAATTACTTTTCACAATAGAAAAATACGTTGCTTTCACACGTGAGGTCTGTACAACTCCACATCCTCCTCCCAAGGCAGGAGCTGCTGCTGGCAGAGGAGCTCCAGGGGTTCAGTCTGTGCCCCTGGCTCAGCCGCAGAGCCCCGGCCCGCTCACCCAGAGGGGAGTTTCTGCAGCTGAAAGCAACATCTCGGTGAGACACAGCCGACCCCGCGCTGCTGGCGGCGATGTGCCGCACCGCAGGCTCTGGGGCTTCCCTGCCACCACAGGGCGGAGGACACCCGAACGTGGGGCGTGAACAACAATTCTGTGTGACAACCAGCCCCAACGGTGGTTTCGCTCCTAAACGCAGGTAGAAGAACGTTCTCAAGGTGCAGCACTCCAACAACATAACCGGGAGCTGAGCTGCCTCAGCAACAGTGGAAAACCCGCATACAACGGACATCCGCTACCCTGGAGTAGGAGCACAAACGTGATGCCAGAGCACAACTCCTGCTGCCAGTGCCACTGCACTGGCGGAGCCCCAGTCCGCGCGCTCTGCGCGGTGCCCACCCATCGCTTGGGCAGCGGCCACATCACACTGCGAAGCGTTTGTGCTGGCCAGAGCCCTGCCCCGCACTGATGGCAGCAGGTGACAGGTTAAAAGGTGTCCCAGAGAGCACCTGCCTGCAAAGCTGACACTGGTAGCACCTCGGGACGATTTCAGTGATTTATGAAATAAAAATCAACTCAAGGCTGGTTATGCGCGTGCCCGTTCTGCGGAGCAGCGAGCGGCGGTGGCAGCGCTGTGCTGCAGCTGCTGCACGAGTTTCCTGCTCAGTTGCGCCGCAGCAAAACCCGAGGACGGATGAAACCAGAACGTTTCAGCACTCGCCAGCGCGAGCAGGGCGAGCACGGAGAGCGCGCTCCCGTTTGCATGGCCACAGCAGAAGAGGGCAGGTTGTAGCGAGTCCCTGGCGCGTGCCGCCAGCGCTGCACCAGGGAGGTTGCAGCTGTGCCGAGTAAGCGTCTCCCTGGCAGCGCCGGGCTCTGCCAGGCTGCCCGGAAGCAGCTACACAACTTAAAATCCTGCCCGAGCTGCAGGAGAAGCCTGTTCCTAGACTGTTCTAACAAACCAACAGCTTTTAGCACGCGCTCGTGTTCCGTGCCCACTCCCGCGGGATCGGACGGGGCTGTATCGGATCTGCAGATCTGCTCTGCCCCCGAGAGT